ATCTGTGAGTTACACAATAAATATTTACCTTGGGGTGATCTGAGTGACCTACGTGTGCTCCACCACCCCTGTGACAGCAACGTCACCCACAATAGCGGCGACTCTCTGCTCAAACGGGGTGAGTTCATCCTTGTTGCTGTTATCTAATCCTGCAGAGAGGGGAATCCCACCTGTCGTTTATACTAATTTGCATAATTAAATTGAGGGCGTGGAGAGGGAGGAGTCTGGTACTCCAACATGTGCGGTCAATTCCACGCTGAGTGAGATGTACAAAGGAAATGTGCTGGATTCCGGCGTACGCACACTTTCGTACATCTGGATTTTTTTGTGCGTACGCAATTTTCAGGATTGTAGCGTACGCCAGGTTTCAGTATGAAATCCACGCAAGTCTTTGTACATGAGGCCCCTGGATTTTTTTGTGCGTAATTTTCAGGACTGTAGCGTACGCCAGGTTTCAGTATGAAATCCACGCAAGTCTTTGTACATGAGGCCCCTGGTCTTTACAGACTATTTGTGAAAACATATTAGTTAATAAATGAATACGACACAAATGTCTGCCAATGCTAAGTGTGAAGCATTTCAGGCTTGTCTTAGGACACGCAATAAGCTCCACCAGCTCTAACTCCTAAAAGGCAACATTTGAAGGAAGAAATTAGAATCCTCCACGAAAAAGTTTATCAGAAAAGAGACCCAAAAACAGAAAAAGGACTCTTTATTTTGAGAGCAGAGTACTGACTGATTCCAGACCAGTGAACCAAGAGGATATTTCTGATGACAGTGATGCTGATTATTCAGTTTAGATATAAAGAATCGACACAGTAGGAGAATATAAACTGGATATCTCTTTCATTTTTGAATGACCGACTGACATTGTGACCAAAGTAATAACTGTAGCACCCACTGAAAACTAGCTGTAACATGTGTAATTAATGTTTGATTTGATACTAAATTAGAAATATTCATGATTTATTGTCTGGATAAATATTTTTTGTTTTTGAACTTGAATAACTAAAGAATGTTTGGAACGTATTTGAAACAATTTGTTATTCATTTTTGATCATAAAATGTAATCCAATATGTTGTATGTGCAGAGAAGGCAGATCTTCAGAGGATCCCACAACACACACCTCCAGACAAGATGCATACTGGGACCAGTTCGACCAGGCGACTGGTCTAAACCCTCAGTCCCTGTCAGGCCTACAAAGGACCCAATGGCTGCCAGAAACACTCTGACTTCTGGCCCTGCAGGAAGTAGAGGTCAAAATGTCTACAACAGCATCAAGAGGATCTCATCCCCACTGACGAGGACATGAGATAATTATTCTATCACTTTGGCAGAACCATTATTTCTGTTTACTCATTCAAAGGAACTGCTGAACATTGATCTCTACAACCACATTATGATGGGTTTAGACTGTGCTACCTTCATGTGGTAAACTAGAAGTTTAACAACATCCAATGTCACATATGTGTTTAGTCTAGTTTTGATCTTCTGCCAGAAGTACAGATACAGACATCATGTCTCAGTATTATGCTATTCTGAAATAAATAAACCACAAAAATACCTGACAGTGTACCTCTGTGAGGGACATCTGGACATCATTCCTCCCTGACAGAGGTTGTGCCAGACGCCCTCCTGAGTTAATGACATGCAAAAGTCCTGTCTGAAAGACCAGACCTGAAACAGCCACATTAAGTCCAACTAAGAGCCGACCAAAGCTCTTCCAAAATTCTTCAAGACCGACTCGGAGGCTCCACTCTGTCCACTGCTGTTCTGACCCGCATCACCAGACTGACCAGACCATCGACTGATCCATCCATCAGCAGAACAGCGCTGCAGCATCACAACATGCACACAAGTAACTTTTTGTCACTGAAACTTAGTGAAACTCCACCATGGCCACTCAGCTAGAAGGTCGCCGGTTGGCGTCCCGGTGAGGACACCCGGGATCTTCCTGTGTGGAGTCTCCATGTTCTCCCCGTGCAGCGTGGGTTCTCTCCGGGTTCTCCGGCTTCCTCCCACAGTCCAGAAACATGCTGAGGTTAATTGG